TGTTGTTCATTAGGGAGGGGCTTTGCAGACTGAGGGCAATTGGACTCTACTGATTTTGGATAAATTGGCCGAGGACCATAAGCCTCTACAGACTGTGGGTTATGGAAAAGCAAAGTTAAATGTAATATATATTTATTTGTATTTAAGCAGAACGTTGATAAAAGCCTACCAGTATATGCGGTGTGTTAAAGATAATATTTGTGCATTACATCAATTGCTTGGATCAGCCAATTGCTCAAGCCAATATAGTTTTACGGTGTGTAAGTTGGATATCGGCCTCGTACATCGATCTTTCTGTTTAGGAAAGACCTGGTCACCATTTCATGAAACACCTCGAGCGCTATGCACTCTCAGTGTCACATGAAATTCATGAGCAGGTCTTTCCTAAACAGAAAGACCTCGTACTAGGTCGATATCCTATACTAAATGACAGCAACCAAGTAACCTATCAAAATCCAAGTCAGTATACTAATTTGTAAAGGAGTTTCTTGAATAAACTCTTAGACTACATTTATAAAATAACTGCACATATTTATCAACTTACCAACAAAACAGTGATCTTTAACTAGAGGCTTTCTGAAGGGGAAAAGATAGCATGATAAATCAGAAAAGGGGTAACACTTGAAATCTGATGCATTCAAACAACTGAGAATGGAATTAAAACAAGAGGGCCATGATGGCCCTGGGGTCGCTCACCTGTACATAGGCCCCCAGGGCGGGGCCAGTTTAAACCAAAGGGCTTTTACTTGAACAAACTTGGAAGACACCCATTAGAAGATGTTTCATGATGTTAAGTTTTTACTATACACAAATAATGAAAAACAATGACTTTTGCCCCCCCCTCCCCCTGGCAGGGCCAATTTTAACCCAAGGGCTTTTATTTGAACAAACTTGGTAGACACCCATTAGAACATGTTTCATGCTAAATATCTTAGCTCTAGCTCTTTGGGTTCTTTAAAAGAAGATTTTTAAGTACTATATGCAATATAGGGAAAATCAATGACCCCTGGGGCGGGGCCAATTTTGACCCCATGGCTTTTATTTGAACAAATTTGGTAGACACCCATTAGAAGATGTGTCATGCTAAATATCTTAGCTCTAGCTCTTTGGGTTCTTTAAAAGAAGATTTTTAAGTTTTTACTACATGTATATAGGGAAAATCAATGCCCCTGGGGCTGGGCCAATTTTGACCCCAGGGCTTTTATTTGAACAAACTTGGTAGACACTCATTAGAAGATGTTTCATGCTAAATATCTTAGCTCTAGCTCTTTGGGTTCTTTAAAAGAAGATTTTTTTAAGTTTTTACTATATGCATATAGGGAAAATCAATGACCCCCTATGGCGGGGCCAATTTTGACCCCAGGGCTTTTATTTGAACAAACTTGGTAGACACTGATTAGAAGATGTTTCATGCTTAATATCTTAGCTCTAGCTCTTAGGGTTCTTTAAGATAAATTTTTTTAAGTTTTTACTATATGCATATAGGGAAAATCAATGACCCCCTGAGGCGGGGCCAATTTTGACCCAAGGGCTTTTATTTGAACAAACTTGGTTGACATCCATTAGAACATGTTTCATGCAAAATATCTAAGCTCTAGCTCTTTGGGTTTTTTAGAAGAAGATTTTTTTAAGTTTTTACTATATGCATATAGGGAAAATCAATGACCCCCTGGGGCGGGGCCAATTTTGACCCCAGGGCTTTGATTTGAACAATCTTGGTAGACACTCATTAGAAGATGTTTCATGATGTTAAGTTTTTACTATACACAAATAATGAAAAACAATGACTTTTGCCCCCCCCCCCCCTCCCCCTGGCAGGGCCAATTTTAACCCAAGGGCTTTTATTTGAACAAACTTGGTAGACACCCATTAGAACATGTTTCATGCTAAATATCTTAGCTCTAGCTCTTAGGGTTCTTTAATAGAAGATTTTTAAGTTTTTACTATATGCATATAGGGAAAATCAATGACCCCCTGGGGCGGGGCCAATTTTGACCCCAGGGCTTTGATTTGAACAATCTTGGTAGACACTCATTAGAAGATGTTTCATGCTTAATATCTTAGGTCTAGCTCTGGGTTCTTTAAAAGAAGATTTTTTAAAGTTTTTACTATATGCATATAGGGAAAATCAATGACCCCCTGGGGCGGGGCCAATTTTGACCCCAGGGCTTTTATTTGAACAATCTTGGTAGACACTCACTAGAAGATGTTTCATTCCAAATATCTAAGCTCTAGCTCTTTGGGTTTTTTAGAAGAAGATGTTTAAAGTTTTTTCTTTTGGTTGCCATGGCAACCAGAGTTCTGCATGAAATGGAATTCTTTGAACAACTTTGTTAAGGCTTCACACAAGGAACATCCCTGTGAAGTTTCATTATGATCTGCCTTATGGTTTCAGAGGAGATGTCGTTTGAAAAGTGTGAACGGACAACGGACGACGTACGACATACGACGGACGACAGACGACGGACGAAGAGTGATCCTAATAGCTCACCCTGAGCATATGCTCAGGTGAGCTAAAAAAAAAAAATACCCATACATTTTATAAAATTTTAAATTTCAAATTTAATTTAACATGCATGGTGCATACCAATCAAAGTCCAAATTATCAGATGTGAAATAAGTTATTTATCATTGTGTCAATTTTAACATATTATATAATCAAGGCTTTCTTACATAAAATGAGAAGTGAACAAAAAATAAAACATGAAATAGGAGTTATGGATAGATCTTATAATTGGGACAAACTTAAGGCAATCTATAATTAGGACAAACTGAGCAACAAAAGCAATCTATATTGACGGATTTCTGTCTTTCAGTCAATTAACCTTTTACTTCATGTAGACGTGTTTTGACGGCTTTTTGACCCCCCCCCCATTTCTCATTAATTAACTCTTTTAAACAATCAATGAAATCAAGTTTTCTCTTTTCATATAATATTGATGTTTTCATTGCTTTATATATAGGGATCTCCCAGATTTTGTTATTTGATACAATAAAGTAAGTTGATTTATTTATGTATACAAACATTGATGACAAACAGAATATACAGAAAAAATGAAGAAATAATGAATGTAATGGAATAAATATAATGGAACAAATAATGAATATATCAACTATCTATAAAATATTAAATGATAAGAATATCCATTACTTTTGAACAATATTTTTGTACAAATAATATATATATTGTTTTACTTTATGGCACAATTACAAACTTGAATATTTTATAGAAATTAAGATCAGATGTCAGCCAACTTAATATTTTTGATGTGCAAATATCTGTTTCCTAAAATTATGAAACAACGTATTTTGTGTAAAAATTTGAGTTTTCTTTAACCTTTTCCCTGATACAGCCCCCTTAATTTACTGCTTTACACCCCATAATACAGTAGCCAGATAGATAATCAATAATCAATATCCTACTGATAAGGAGTCACACACTATCTCCATATAGGGTATGATAAATTATACGTAGGTAAAATTGGTCAAATTAGATACCTATATACTTTAACTGGAAAATAAAGTATTAAGTTGTGTTTTGACAATTTTTGTATCAATAAAAAGTTTGTAGAGAATTGAAATACCTTTCCAATGGTATAAATATCATATTTGTTGGGTTTATACAAATATGTCTACATGAGTTATAAAGTAATAAACTATATACTTGATGGTGTTTTTTTCTCCATTGTTTCAGATAGATTAGGCTACTTATGTGTTTTAACTAATGTGAAATGGTTTAATTACAAGTTTGACAATATATATGTCAATGTAAGATTTGTAGAGATTTGAATTATCTTTCCAGTGGTATAAATTTTATATTTGTGGGCTTTATAACAGTATAATTACAGTAGTTATAAACAATAAAATGATGTATAATTTTTCTCTCTCTTTTACAGGGATTAGGGAAATATCCCCTACGAAGTAGACTTCATGAAGTCATGAATTTTTCATTACTTTTATGAATTATTCATGAACTATTCTGGATTTCTTCTTCATCCTTCTTCATGAAGTTTTATTCATGAAGTGAGAATTGTTAACTTCATGAAGGTATCAAGCAGAATTAAACACTTCATGAATTACTCATGATATATTTTTAATGAATAGCTCAAGAATTTACTAAGAATATCAATATTCCTCAACAATTCTATACAAATTCTTGTACAAATTAATGAAGAACTTCATGAATAATTCAGGAACATTTAATCTGAGTACATTTATATTGTGCAAATATCCATTAAATTTAACTGAGTATATCTAGGTGCATTGGTCTTGGCCATTAGATGACCCCTATAGATTTTTGGTATTTGGTAAGGTTTGTAATAACTTTATCATGAAATTTCTGTGCACAAATTTCACAGTCACAATGACCTAGTGACTGAGTCATGACCAGTAGATAACCCCTATAGATTTGACCAGTAAATAAACCTTATTGATTTTAGGAGTTGGTCACAATGACCTGGCTACATGACTAATTGGCTTCCGATAGGGTGCATACATGTTTAACATGATTTGAACAATCTTGGCTCACTTGTAGAGGTTCACTAGACAATGCTACATGCAAAATACCTAATCTCTGGGCCTTGTGGTTCTTAAGAAGAGGATTTTTAAAGATGTCCCTATATAACTCTATGTAAAATCAGGTGACCCCTGTGTCAAGGTAAGTTTGATCCAAGGGGTCATGACTTTAACAATCTTTGTAGAGGAACTCCAGATGATGATAAATACCAAATATATTTTTGGCAAGAAGATTTTCAAAGATTATTCTTTCGGTTGCCATGGCAGCCAGAGTTCTGCATGGAATGGAATTCTTTGAACAACTTTGGTAGAGCTTCATGCAAGGAACACTCCTGCAAAGTTTCATTAAACTTGGCCACACTGTTAATGAGGAGATGTTGTTTAAGTAAATTGTGGACGGATGCAGTAAGACGGACATCATGGGATCACAAAAGCTCATCCTGTCATTATGTGACAGGTGAGCTAATAAGGAAAAAAGGTACAACAGACCAATAAAGAGCCTTACACAATAACATGAGCTAGAATGATCATTTGATGGTCACATTCCTAACAGTATACATTTCCTTATTTGAAAATGGCATGACCTAGAGTGTTTGGTAGTCTTGCAATAACACCACAGTCTCCAGTAGGTGATTTCATATAAATCAAAGTTGCTTTCAGCTGATCAACATATACAACCCTATGACAATTTGTCTTCACTACACATTTCAGATGTTTTGCCCCTTGAAAATTGCTAAGCCAACTATTAACACATTCATTCATTTTACTGATAACTGCATAAACTAAATTGAACTCGAGGTTCAAAACAAAATACTGAATTTGACCAATTTCGTCTTCTGAATACAAAACAGTGTAGCTATTTCTCTTCTTCATCCTTGAATAAGCAAAACTGTAAAATGTTTTATTGTTAACAAAAATTCTTAAAACCTTTTTAAGATTTACACAACTTTCAACACCTAGGGCTTCATAAACATAATCAGGTAAGTTACTGCACACTGATTTCAAAGATCCAATGATTGCACAATTTTGTGCCTGATGAGAGACCTTAAGATGTTTTAGTGACTTCAACTGAATCTTATTTGATGAACGGACATACAGCGCAGTTTCTTGTTTACGTAGAGCCTGTTTGACCACATCACCAGTGCCATGAACTGATTGCAAAATATTTGCATTGGCATCTTCAAACCCAAAGCAACTCCATGCCCAAACTGGCCCTAACTTCCTAACATACATTGGCAAATGAGCACATGCATTATGGACATTAAGTCCACATGATCCCTCCCCATATAACTCACTGAACTGAGAATAGAACTGCCCCAGTAATAATTCACTTCTTTCCAAGCAATTTTGTGTTAAACTATCACCAAGCAAGATGAAAATAGCTTCTGAAAGTAAAGCTAAATGCTGCAAGAAATTTTCCTTTTGAATACCAGTAAGACAAGGTAATGCATAAAACAGTAAGAATGCTTGGAGTTCTGTAGCTTTGTAGTTTGCATAGTGTTTTTCAATGTCCCTAGGTAGACGTTCAATATAGTGAGGTGGTTGTATTTGAAGAAGTCTCTCATTTATCTGCTTAAGGTGTTTGCCCACAAAGTAGTCATTTCCAGATTGAGTTGGGGAAAACCACTTACTTAAAATAGTTTTAACAATTCCTAATAAGACACAATGCATATAGTCAGGTACTATACCATACACTAATTCAAACTTTAACAGTCGAGCTATTCCAGACATTCCTTTGAATCCCTTTTGCCGATTTCTTACTGTTGCACTTTCCATTGATTCAAGTACACCTTCCACTGACCGTTCGGGGAAACGAGAACTTGTTGGTCTATATGGATAGCACCTGCTGTGTCCTCGACCCTGGCGAACTACTAAACCTGGTTCCTCACAAGTAATACAAGCCTCTAAGCCATTAAACTGTGTCATATTTAAGACACCAGCCTTTGCAGGCAAGTCTAAAGTAATACCAATCACATTCATGTAAACATTCCAATTTTCTTCACCACAGTCCATCTGAAGACCTTTCTCTGTCAGAGTATTGATTTCTTCAATAATCTGTTCAAAGTAAATCTTGAAAGGTGGCTTTCCTTTGCCTTGCCATAATGCAATTAAAAGAATGTTTTCTCTTGAAAATCGGTGAGAGGCATGCAACTCATTAATTGCAAGATAAACTGGCCAAAGTTCTACTTTAGATGATTTGTACAAGTTAACCCCATCAGTATTTAGAATGCAAGTAAGCTGAATATCTCTTGTATTTTCATTCACAAATTGTTTTTTGTATATCTCGCCACTATATATGTCACTAATAGTATCACATGTCATACTTTGTTTAATATCTTTCAAAGTCTTCATGATATCTTCTAATATTCCTACAATAGAGAATAAAACTATGTTACTGACATGGCACATACTAAATTTTATTCTCATTCTAAAACAACTTACATAAAAAACCTTCAAAAATTTGCCGACTTCTGATCTAGTGACCTCTCTAGCATGGGTTCAAATCTTCTTGTCAGAAAATATTTGGCCTAGAGCTTAGTTATTTGGTATGAAGCATCCTGTAGTGGACCTCTACCAAGATTGTTCAAATTATGACTCTAAGGGTCAGAGCTAGAATTAGAAAACACCAACATCTAAACCACTGGTTCAATTCTGAAATAATTTTACACAACAATTTCCTTGGTGACAGTGTACAAAAATTGTTCAGATTAAGCTGTCCCTTGTTTTCAAATTGTGCTCTCCAGGGCTCCACTTTGACCTTTTGACCTATTTCTCAGGTGAGCGATCTAGGGTCCTCTGGGCCCTCTTGTTCACAAATGCAATCTTGTTTAAGCCTGAATTTTTTTTTTGCAAAGTTATGCTCCCTTAACTATCAATTTTCAAGTAAAATAACCTTGTCCACGCTTAATCTCCAAAACCGTTCAGATGTATTCAGTGTACAGAAAAGTTTGTCTATGTTATATAGCAAAATAGATTATTATTTGTATTCACATATCTTCTTAACCAGCTTAGTTTTATTGAATCATTATACCGGTAAGCATAAACATTTACCATTTTTATACCTCCATCACAATGATTTTTGCTTGATGATTGTTTGTGAACAAATCTAGTTGTGCTTAGTATCTTTTTTATGCTTGATTTTTTTATGGTAAAGTGCATAGTATCTTTTTTTCAGCTTGATTTTTTAAAAGTTTTCCTATATAAGTCTATGTAAAATCAAGTGACCCCCGGGGCAGGGCCTGTATTGACCCTGGGGCCATAATTTGAACAATCTTGGGAGAGGTTCACTAGATGATGCTACATACCAAATACCTAAGCTGTAGGCCAAATAGTTTATGACAAGAATTTTTTTTTAAAGTTTTCCTATATGTCTATGTAAAATCAAGTGACCCCTGGGGCGGCACCAATATTGACCCTAGGGCCATAATTTAAACAAACTTGGTAGAGGTATACTGAAGGATGTTACACACCAAATATCTAGTGTGCGATTTCTATATGCCGCCCTTCGGGAGCATAAAAAAACTAGTGGTGAAATAAGATCATAAAATTCAATTACCTGGAACATATAGTAGTTTCCTTAACAATCCTTCTAAATCAGCTAACATGAAGCTCTTCACAGCACCAAAGCAGTTTGGAGTTCTGCACTGAAGATTTTGATCATTATTTCTATCAATAATGCTTTCACATTTGTGACAATATTGAACCTCCCTGTAGTTAGTATCTGGTACATGTGACAGCAATTTTCTGTATGACAATAAAGGGTTATCTTTTGCAGCTGGAACTACATGTTTTATTGTTTTAAGAATATCATGACAAGCAGTGTCAGTTAGTTTGTGTTTCTTAAAACACTGAAGCAACACCAACGCATCATTTTCAAAGTCTGATTTGCATGAACATTCTACATCAGATGCATTTGTACTTGACAAGTCATCAGCTGAAATATCACTTTCACTTGTTGTTTCTGACAAGCTTTCCTGATTGCTCCAGTCACAGTCACTGACATCATCAGATGGTGGATTAGAGGTAACCCAGCAAACACCCGACGTTGACCCAACGTTGGATCAACGTTGAATTTTGGTCGCGACGTCGGTGACCTTCATACACCGTCAAATCGACGTTGAATCCCTGACGTCTAACAGATGTTTTATTTTGACGTCGACTCGAGCGTCGGGTTTTGGTCGGTAATCTGACAATAGGTGAATTTAATTTTATGAACCAATATATATATAAAATGAAAGCATAAACAGCGAGAATTTTAAGTTTAAGTTTAGAAAGGGAACATTATATATTTATTTTCTCCATCAAAACAAACAGTATCACGTGGGTGGCTAACGTACGATATTCGATAGGTTGGCGCTCTGTAAACGGATAGTCCCCCGCAAGATCAGTATGAAATATATTTGCTCTATTTTCGTTTAAAATAATATCTTATCTCCTCGAAATTAGTCTAAGAAGTGTTTATATAATTTACAATGAAGCTGTTATCATTTTGAGGGCTTCATTTTAAGTGGTAAATAATTTAGTAAATTCGAATTTGCGACTTATCGGATTTGAAATTCAATTGTTATTGGCGGACAAAAAAAACGACGGGTTGACAGACAAAGTTGTATATTCCAATCAAAAGAGAAAAGGTAGGCAAACATTATATATTGTTTTTCAATGCTAATTTACCTCATGTTTTGCATGGATTCGATGGTTATTTGATCATTGAAATGTTTGACTGGTAAAACTTAATGTAACGTGATTTCGCGAGATAAATATTTTTGTTGTTCCACGTAAGAACACTTTATCATTTTGCTATAGAACAGTCTGTATAATCGGATCATTTTTCCCACACTATATCGCCATGCCAAATAAATGCACAATCAATGCCAGGAAATATCCTAGCAATTGAAATCAATAAAAAGTTAAATGCAGTACGTAAGACTCTTATTATTCAAATGCTGGTAAATAAAAGTTCCTCTTATTTCTTATCAACATGAAGTTCCCTTATATGAGGGGCCAGTCATTTACACATGTATCAGATGCAGCTTGATTTTGATATCTGTGTAGTTGTTAAACTACTCGTTAATTGAAGTACTTTACCCATACTGTTAGCATACCATGTGCTTCTTATATTATGATAATGATTCATGGCATTTGATACATGTAAATGATACGACTTTGGTAAGATATATCTGAAAGCACATTGTATTTGACTAGCTATCTTTTTATTAATGTAATCAAACAACATATTATCAATCAGAAAAACACATTATCATAGTTATAAATCAATAAAAAGTAATAGTTTGTTAATTAACCTGCTTATCAACAAGTTGTATGCTCGTATCATAAAAATGTTTTTTACACTAAGCCAGTCTGTCCTATATACACTTAGCAGACCAGATCATGCTGAGCAGAGATGATATCTATAAAAATGACAGTAACATGTGAATTTCTTTGATGTTGTATGAGCATTTGTACAAAGTACATTGAATACAAAAAAATAACAATATCAATTTTTGCGGGAGTAGAATTAATTTCATTTTGGTATTTGTTATATCAGTTTTTTCATGCGCTTATGAGTTAACTAAGATTAGTAGTAATTGTATTTTGCCTATTGTACTAGACAAATATCCTTCCCACCACATGTTTAATTCTAACACGATTATATTTTCGTCTTTCAGATTGTGAAAATTATGGTAATTCAACATGTGTCAAAAAGTTCAGGAGGAAGATGAAATATTTAGAGGAAAAGAAAAATGAAAAACCTACCAAGATTTTGTGACAGGTATATTTCAAAAATATTATAGAAAATACAGTGATCTATTACCCTTGATTTTATAATGAAATTCACGAAGCCATTTTTTATCAAAATTAATAGATACATACAGTAGGTACACGAAAACTACATGGTTTTTAAACTAAATTAAAAATAATAAGATCTTTTTAAGTAGTTGGAGAGTTTTGTTAGAATTTCGTTTAATTATAATATGTAAAGTAATTTATTTCTTGCACTTGTAAACTGATTATTTTTATTTTTTTTAAATTTCAGAAAGTGTGATGAGATCTCAGGCGGGAGACGGTAATGATACGCTTAAAGTATGCCCCAGATCGACATAGTGTAGGAGGACAAAAGAAGCTAGAATACTAATGAAGATAAATGAACATTGCTATTTATAGTTATAACAAAATATTCAGAATAGTGTTCCATTCAACATTCAGATCTAGATTCAGTTATAAAATACAAAGACAAATATACAATCAGTGAGTTGGATAGATGATTGAAAAATCCCAAACTCAGAGTGAGCAGTTCAGTGGTGATATAAGAAAAAACACATGCATGGATGTTTGCTATATAAAATGTCAGTGTTAATATTCAAGAAGGATTTTGTTTATCTTATTTCTAAAACATGCTTAATTAATACATTGAAGCGTTATTAAAGTACATATCGTCAAGTTTAATAGTTTCAAAAAATATTATGTAAATCTTGCATTTGTTATAGTACCACATTACTTGTTTTGTACTTCCGAGTATAAAATAAATTGCTAAAATCATAAGAATGCTTATTTATTAACCCTATTAAAGAGCTTCAAAATGAAAAAAATCATATATTCCAAAAAAGTTTTGAATGAGGTTAAATCATGGTCAGAAATTTTGGTCAGATAAGGTTGGCATATGGTCAGATAATGGTCAGAAAAGGTTGGATTATGGTCAGAAAAAGGTTGGATTATGTCCAAATAATGGTCAGAAAAGGTTGGATTATGGTCAGAAAAGGTTGGATTATGGTCAGAAAAGGTTGGATAAAGGTCATTTTATGACGTTGTATAGACGTCGGTTTCTGACGTCTAAAAAACTTTCATATCCAACCTTCTGCCAACGTTTACCCAACGTCAGGGTCTAACGTCAGTACAACGTTGGTACAACGTCTTTTGTTTGCTGGTAACAGTCATAAATTCTGATGTCCCACCAATGTGTATACCAGTAATAGTACTTTCTAAGTCATCTTGCTTATTTTGTATAGACACATGGACATCAGATGAACAATCTGAATAAAAGAAATATCGTTACTTCAATACTGCTCTAAATTAAAAAATAACAGAAACAAGAGGGCTACCTGACTATAATCGTTTCACATATGTCAAAAAGGGGAACAGAGAAGCAGTTCACACAATTTACAAAGAGTGTTGCTCAAGATATATCTGTGTGAAATTATTTCAAAATCTATTCTAGAGACTAACCCATTGTTTCCTAAAACTGACTTACAGATCAAACTTTGAACCTGGACTAGACTTTAAAAAGATATCTTTTGACAAAATATAACAAAAGCTGTGGCCTTAAATGTGTGCATACTGTTTTTTTTTCTGTAATTTAAACTATTGACCAAGATTGCAACTCCAAATAACTCATGTTCATATATGACCTGATATTTCATAGAGATAAACATTTTGACTATTTTTCAACAAGATAGGACTAGAATAATAAAAGGTCAGTTGCATTTTTGTAATTTCCTAAAGTTAAACAAAAATATGAAAAGGTTTCCATCAATTTAGAAACCCAAAGATAAACAAAAGCCACCACAAGTTGGGTCAACACTATGCTTTTTTCATAAAGTAAGTGTACTTTAAAAGACAACAAAAAAAGAGATGCAGCTACATGTAAAATCAGTAGGTATCATAGCATTATTTATTATTTGGTTAGCAATCATTTAATTCATCATTTGCAAGTTTTCACCT